CCTTCAAGGCTTTTTAAAACCACCAAGTTCATGCTCTCTGTATGTGTGTATATATATCTCCTCAATATTTATTCCACTCTATATGCATCCAAAGAAGTGAGCTGTAGTCCACGAAAGCTTATGCTCTAATAAATTTGTTAGTCTCTAAGGTGCCACAAGTACTCCTGTTCTTTTTGCGGATACAGACTAACACGGCTGCTACTCTGAAAACTATTAAAGTCAGTGAAGCTATGCTGATTTACATCAGCTGAGGATCTAGACCCAAGAATGTAAGTATGTTTTCTAGTGGCCGGCTAATTATTCAGTTATTGGAGGCAAGGAGGAGAGAGACAATGGAAAGATACAAAAGGTTGATGATTGAGTCTAGCAAGTTTTGTCTGTGCAGACGAGAGAGCTCTAGCGAACTATTATAAAAACAAAATTTGCTTTTGACTAAAGCACCCTCATTGCTGTGTTTAGTACTTTTAAAAATTGTGTATTATAGGTATGGATGCCACTAATGACTATCGTGTTATTCAGTGGGCTGGGGCCTCAGGAGGGCTCCCTCCAAATGAAACCACTTTTGCCAAGATACTACAGCAGCAAGGTTATACCACAGGACTAATAGGTATGTAGACTCAATATTGGTTGGGTAAAAAGTATTAGCTGACCACTTAGCACTGAAATACTTCATTGTGAGGTGACTGATCAATTCTCAGTTTTAATGTTTATGACATCATATCGTATAATATGTCTTTCTTCCCTTGTGTCAGTGTCAAACTGTCTGGAGTGGCTCACAAGCATGAGTGCAACCTCAGGGCAGACTGATCAGGAACAGGGCACAAAATCCAAACTGACTGTATGTTCTATAATTAGATTTCACCAACTAAGTATCAAACGTGACCTCCTACAGCATTATAACAGCCTTAACATGGAGTCACAGACAGTCCCCCTTTGGGCACTCCAATCTATCTTGACACCCAAGCAAGCCTGCCTTTGTAATAGATGGCCCTTTGCACCAAAAAACACATTGCTATTCAGGTTATTCCCAGTCCTGAAGAACCAGTCACTTACCCCAGGTCAACTGTACCTCCGATCTCAAATCAAAGATAACATGTGTAGCCAATCTTGTAATAAACTAACTAAAGGTTTCAAGTATCAGAGGGGTAGCCGTGTTAGTCTGAATCTGTAAAAAGCAACA